GAAGCCCGGTAGAGCTATGTACTTCCTTTGCTGCAACTTCTGGAGTCGCTTATTTTCTCCCTTCATGCTGGCATAATCGACAGGAATTGGGAGCATTTCACTGAAGCTGTAATATCGTCCTCCTCCTCTGCAGTCATTCAGGAAGTGTGGGGAGGGTATAGGAGAGGCAGAAGCAATAGGGAGGTGAAGAAATGCTGCTTGAGCTTTCTCTGTCCCTTGCTACTGGGTTTGAGCTACAGGTTGTACAAGTCACATTGTATCTTGGCACCCACTGGAGTTGTGCAAGATGGCAGTAGTGGTCTCGGTTGCTGTTGAGTGGAAGTTTGTTGAACTTGTATTCTCTTACCCTGCCAAACTTCTTGCTTGCCTGACTTCCTGCTTTTCTACTAAGTACCACAAGTGGATTTTTATTATAAGCAAAGGAAGTAATAAAGATATGAAGTAGAGCCTTTTGGTTCTAAAATTACCTGTTAGGACAATATCAGAGTCTTGAATGTCAGTTCATCTTGATGCTGGCCAGCCAGATGTGTGATTGGTTGGCTCTTCCGACACCAGTAACCAATGGCTGGGTTATCTCATTGTCCCATCCTACCTTTACTGGGACATCAGAACTCTACCACTTTAGGTCCAAAGATTAAGGTAAAATAGGTAGGTTTTATTGAAATATTGCTCAAAACTAAGATTTTGTTTAATGTTTTAAAGATAAGTTATTTTTGGTTAGAAGTTGATGTTGGGAATGAATGAATGGGTACTACCTCTGGTGAATTGCCTGGAGTCTGTATCAGAAGGCAATAATGGGGGGATTATTGTTGGCATTGTTCTAGCTTCCTTTTTACTTCAAACATATCTTCAGCTACTTGTTTTCTCTTAATTTTTCCTATTCTATTATATTTCATTTTCTAGTCTTGACTAATTATCTTAGTTTCGAGAAGAAACATAAGATTTTTCTTTGGCTTTTTTAAATAATGAAAATAATTAATAGGACAAAAGGAAAATAGCCTTACTTCATCCATGCTGGAGTCTGTCCAACTCCAGGCTGGCCAGATGGTTTCCTTGGATCCTATAATTGACAAGTGTGTTTAAATCCAAAGTTGGAGAAGTGAAAATCTGAGGAAAGCTCAAGTTCGGAGGCCTCATGATCCTAAGGAAATTGTTGGGCTGCATCAACGAGCCATTTATGGATCTCCTCCTTTTTTTGTCCTTCCTGCGCTTTTAGTATGTTCTTCTGTACGGAGTTTTGTATTTTTTTGCAAAAAAAAAAAAAAAAAAAAAAAAAAAAGAACATGAATTCCAATAGTAAATCAATAAATGTGTTCTGGATTGTTTTATGATTTGATTGAAGTATGACATAGACGACTTAAGTTTTATCTTAAGTCAGTAACTCTAAGGATTTGATTCTCGAGTCTTAGTAACTTGGGCAAAGTAAATTTTCATATCAGATCTCTCTCTCTATACGTTTAAATAAATTCATCAAATTAAAAAGTGTTCAGAGAGAACTTGTTTTGAGAAAGACAGTATGGTGCTTTTCCTTGCACTGCACAAAAGTAAGCATGTAGGAAGATTCTAAACTCTTTTTCCTTTTAGTTGCTTTTAGATCAGCATTTTTACAAGTTACTAGTTCATCATGTTTTATAAACTCACTGTCATGTGAGTATGTGAGTTATTTCTTTTTATTTAGATTGTTAAATTTAAATATTTAAATTAACTTCTTTAGCTATCTAAAATGGAAGCAATATATTGTTGAAAGTATGGTCTAGATGATGTGTGACAACATTTGACCCATAGCTTCTAATTTTTTTTCTATAAAAACATCTTTTCTGAGGAATGACAGTATGGCTTTTACATAGACCCAATGGTACAGATTTTATATTGAATAATTAGTATTTATTGACTTTGCTCTAGCTATTCAGTATTATGTACTGCATTAGTCTGGGTTCTCTGAAAAGCAGATGCCAAGCTGGAAACAGGCATATAAGAGATTTGTTTGGTGAAATGCCTGCTAGGGAAATTGGAGAGGGAAATGGATGAGGCTGGAATAGCCAACAGATTGAAATGCAGGTTTGACGCCTGAGAAGGAAAAAGCGAAGGAAGGAAGAGAGGTCCTGGATAGGAGTGCAGTTCTAAGACAGTTTTGGCAAATTCAGTAGAGAGTCCTTGAGTGAGATAAGATTCCTGGACAGATGAGAATCACAGTTTGTAGGGAGGGGCCTGCCTAAGTATCCCTGCTGTACTCAGTCAGAGCTGGGAGCAGCCCGAGGGAGGCATGGCCTCAGTGTGATCATGGGTAAAATCGCAGCAATGGGGCCAGCTCACTCGCACAGAACCAGATCTGAGAGGTGCATTCTCATGGCCACAGCACATGTGAATATCAGGCTACAAATGTTTTGCTTAACGTGTACCACCCAATCATGGAATACATTAGGTCTAACCCAATATAGAGGAAAACAAATGTTCTCTTTCTACAGAGACAGAAAGGTAGGCTAATACAATGACATATCTTATCTCTTTATCAGTTGAACATAGGAACTTTCTTGGTTTGCAAATAGCATGGTTGGCACACTGGGCTTTTTTAAGGAAGGCTGGGTCCTGGAGGTTGGTTTTTTTTTTGTCGTTCAGACAGAGCAAAATAAGACAAAAAGGCTTTGGAAAGAAAACTCTTGTGCTTTGAAGGCCGTGTTTGGAAACCACCTTGAATGTGATGCTTAGAGTGAATCTCTTTCAAGAAAAATAGCCCTTGTCATCTGTTACGTGTTATGGGTCAGAAGTCTTGTTGTCAGGAGGGTGAGCTACAGTCTAGTCTAAAAAAGCTTTAATGTAGCCCTTATTACTAGGACCAAAACCTCATGCTTCTGCGAGAGCAATTTTGTTTTCAATGTAAAAGAGCATGGTGTAAGTGGCTGTCATCTGTGAGTACATCTTGCTATACCTGCCTCACCAGATCTGGTGGAGAAGATGACCTTCCTTCTCTTCTTTCACAGCCAAGCTCTCTTTCTCTCTCTCAGCCTCGTGTACAAAATTAGCAATTTTGTTTCAAATAATGAACACTGGCCATTGGGCTTTAAGACATAAAGATATTGCAAATAAGATATAAATTTGGGTAATAGTGGTAAGATTTCAAAGGGTATTTGTTGGTACTTTCTTTAAAATAGTTTATCTTATTTACATATATTTATAGTTTACAATATATCTTCATTATTTTCAAGAGATGGAAAATGGGAATTAGGATGAGAGTAATGAGATAAGAAAATAGACTCACAGAGAAGTGGATGAGTGTCATTGACAACATCAGATGTGGCCTAAAAGTGGTTTGTATTATTGAGTTGTAAGAGTTTTTTTTATATAGTCTAGTAAAGTCCCTTATCAGATACATGGTTTGCAAATATTTTCTTGCATTCCGTGAAACATCTTTTCACTTTCTTGGGTGGTGTGTGTCCTTCGAAGCACAAACATTTAAATTCTAATGATATTCATTTAATCTATTTTTTTCTTTTATTGTTTGTGCTTTTGGAAACCAGTGCCCAACCTGAGGTCGCAAAGATTTATACTTATGTTTTCTTCTAAGGGTTCTCTTGTTTTAGCTCTTAGATCTAGGTCTTTGATACATTTTGAATTGATTTTTGTGTTCTTTCCTGTGTACATCGCATTGTGCCAATACTATTTGTTAAAAAAAGACTCTTCTTCCCCTCATTAAGATATCTTGGCAGCCTTGTTGACATAGATGCCACTTCTCAGGCAAGTTTTTATTTGATGGCTTTTTCCAAATTAAAGTTGGTGTTATTGTTGGCCAATAAATGGTTTATTTACAGGCGGTTGCATTTTACAAATGTGTCTTCTACTTCATGTGTATGGAAGAATTGCCTTTTATAGAACAAAGCATAGAAGAACACTTTTAGATGAAGGAGCCTGTGTATCTGTCTATCCAGGTGGCATCAGTGCACTGGATTAGGTATCTTCCAAACAAGCTCTTCTCACATTTTAATGAGTGAATTCCCTGGCAATCTTGTTAAAATGCAGATTCTCAGGTGGGCATGGTTGCTCACATCTGTAATCCCAGCACTTTCGGAGGCTCATGTGGGAAGATCACTTGAGCTCACGTTCGAGACCAGCCTGGGCAACACAGTAAGACCCAGTCTCTACAAAAAATTACAAAAATTAGCCGGGTGCAATGGTACATAACTGTAATCCTAACTATTTGGGAGGCTGAGGTGGGAGGATTGCTTGAGCCCAGGAGGTTGAGGTCACAGTGAGCCATGTTTATGTCACTGCATTCCCCGCTGGGCAATAGAGTTTAAACAAAAAATCAGATTCTCATTTTCTAGGTCTGGAATGGAGTTTGCATTTCCAGCTAGCTCCTGGGCATGCTGATGGTGCTGGTCCAGGGGCCACACCAATTAACGACACTAGAGTGTCCAATGTGAGCTTGTTATTCACTGTTGTTATATCTACCTATGTAAAGTGATTTCGAAGGGAAATAAAAATGGTTTATTTCAAATTCATTATTTTTGTATTTTATTTAATAAACTTTGAGATGAAAAAAACCACCATCCAGAGAAATAGAATAAAAGTTTCTTTCCAAAGGCTGTATTAGTCCATTCTCACGCTGCTAATAAGACATACCTAAGACTGGGTAATTTATAAAGAAAGAGGTTTAATTGAATCACAGTTCCTTATGGCTGGGGAGGCTCAGGAAACTTACAATCATGGCAGAAGGAGATGCAAACATGGCTTTCTTCACATGGCAGCAGCAAGGAGAACTGCAGAGTGAAGGGAGAAGGGGAAGCCCCTTATAAAACCATCAGGTCTTGTGAGAACTCACTTGGTATCACGAGAACAGCATGGAGGTAACTGCTCCCATCATTCAATGACGTCCCACTGGGCCCCTCCCACGACACGTGGGAATTATGGGAACTACAATTCAAGATGAGATTTGGGTGGGAGCACAGCCAGAGCACATCAATGGCCTTCTTGCCAATCTTAATTATTTTCTATCTTCCTTCCAGGCCTCTGATGATTGTCACTCAGAAGATCACAACCTTGGCATTTCAAGTTCATGATGGTGAGAATAGCAACCCTCCTTTTAGTTCTCAGAGTGAGCCTGACATGCAGAGCTCATCTTTTTATACGGTGTACACAGTCCAAAGTTTGGACAAATGCTGGCAGATCTTGCTTTATCTTGTTCAAAATTTCCAGGCCTCGTCAATCATAGCCTTTCACTTTTCCAGCCATGATTCACCATTTTCCTGCGGAATCGGCAGTCTGGATTTGCTGACGTATTTGTACTGAGAACTCTGTGTTTTCTGTTTATCCTTACAATGTTTTAAATTTAAGTTAATTTGTGATACTCTCTGCCCTTTGTTTTCAAATCTGTTGAAAAGAAGTGACATCCTTTTCGCTTTGGTTTAATCTCTGAGAAGCTCACAAGCTAATGAAAGATTAAATAGTATTGGCTGGTTAATCATTTTTAAATGCTAGGTTGTTTTTGTTTTTGTTTTTGTTTTCATTTGTTTGTTTGGCTTGGAAAATTATCTAATGATAATTCCCTATAAAAAGCTGGGAAAAGGGCCAGGCACGGTGGCTCACGCCTGTAATCCCAACACTTTGGGAGGCCGAGGTGGGTGGATCATGAGGTCAGGAGTTTGAGACAAGCCTGACCAACGTGATGAAACCCTGTCTCTACTAAAAATACAAAAATTAGCCGGGCGTGGTGGCATGTGCCACCCACATGTAATCCCAGCTACTTAGGAGGCTGAGGCAGGAGAATCACTTGAACCCAGGAGGCAGAGATTGCAGTGAGCCGAGGTCGTGCCACTGCACTCCAGCCTGGGTGACAGAGCGAGACTCAACAACAACAACAGCAACAGCAACGACGACAACAACAACAAAGCTGGGAAAAGGAAGAATCTTCTGTTTGTGTAAAGCTGAACATTTTCTTCACTCAGGCACCGCCTAAAAATGGCCAGAAAGTGTGATTTACATTGTTCAGACTGGGTTCCAAGAAAGGAGGAAGATTATTTCAGGGTGGAAGATTTCAATATGGGCTTTAGAGAGGCCAGGAACAATTAGTAAAAGTATATTCTGTGGATTTGTACTGCTCTAACAAGCACTTTTTGACTGTTAACATTTTTTTTTTTATATGTTGACAGGTTGAAATTTATCTCTGACAGCTAGTTTCCTTATTTTTCCTTAAAGCTTGTGAACTGATTTAATTTCATTTGACCTAGTGTATTCCTCATTCATACTTGGTGATTTAGTCATTCTGTAGAGAACCGGGTAGTTTTATACCAAGGATGGAGTCTTTCTAGGGTAAACAACCGTCCTGGTTTGCCCAGTACTAAAAGGTTTCAGAAGATGTGACTTTCAGTGCCAGAATCAGAGAGTCCTGAGCAAAGCAGGGTGAGTTAGTCACTCTACTTGTAGTTGGAAAGTCCCCTTGGTAGTGGTTATAGACATTAGCAACTGAAATCAATAGCTAAAATCAGTTTAATTTCTAGGATTGCCAGAGATTACTATTTGATGAGATCTTATAAAAATGTTTTTAAAAGCACTGCTTCTTTTTTCTTTTTAAGCAGCCTTGTTGCCTAAATTTACTTTTTAAAGCATTCTCAGTTTACCATATTTCCTGGAACATCCCTTAAATGCAGCAAAATGTTTACTTGCCTTTTTCTTTCTTTTCTTTTTTTTTTCTGGTGTGTGGGAGGAACAAGTAAATTCCAGAAATACTCTACCTCCTCTTAGGCATGGTTTTGAATTGCCTTCATGGTTGGTGACCATACTCAGCCTTAGCTGAATATATAGTTTTACAGTTGACATATTGCTTTTAAGATAATACTTCAGTTTCTTTGACTCTATGTTAATGTGTACATTTCACAGAAAGCACAGATGTGACTTGGTTGGGAGTTTTTCTGATACAAACAAATGATAAAAAGAAGAAAACGTTGATAATTTCTTTGTAATTTTCTCACACTCAAGATTACATCCCCCCCCCCCCTTTTCTTGGAAGAGGAAAGTCTCCTGTTTCTTTTTCCATTATGTCCCACAACCAAGCTCTCAGCTGGTAGTAGGTGTCTGCACCTAGTGCAACCAGGGAGGTTTTTAAGCTGTGGCAGCCTGTTAAAGGCAAGATGCTCTCTCTGATGTATCAGGGAAGACATATACAAAGTGGCAAGGAACTCCCAGATGGGGAGCGTTCTCTGGGTCCATGTCATACTGTGCAGATTAAGTAGGAGAAAACTTTGAATCCTTCCCTCTCCATGTGAACCTACAGAGACTTTGCTTCTCACACATGTACTTATGGTAGCTCTTTTGGTCCAGGGCATTAAAAAAAAAAAAAGGAAACAGGAACTCTTTATGATTTATGAAGGAAACAAAGATTACCTGGTTCAAATGACTTTGATAAGAGCCTTTTAAAATTTGTCATCGAATTCACTTCAAGCATCTTATTTCTAAATTCTTTTCTTTTTCATAGGATTAGGTCGAAGAGCTGAAGACCTTTCTGCTGAACAACATCGACTTGCTATCAAGTAAGTGAAGTGTGATGATATATTAACGAGCCCTTTGCATATCAGTATCTAGAGATTTTCCTCATTTAAAAAATATCTGCACATTAATTCTGTTCTATGGATTTAATATCATTTATTTTGTGAATCTGCTATTGATGAACATGTGCATTGTTACTGGTCTTTGACTTTTACAAATGGTTAAGTGATGAATAGCCTTGTATTAGGTCATTTTGAAATGTGTTAGGGTAGAACTATAGCATAGAGTCTCAGAAGTAGAATCTGTTGGGTCAAAGAGTAAATAGAACTGTACATCTGCAAGGCTCTCCTTCCCTGGGGTTGTTATGTTTACTCCGGAAGTATTCTTATTGGGCATGTGTCTTGGGGGTCCTAAAGAATAGTGAATGATCAGTGTCAGTATGATTAAATGCCACTGTGAAAAAAGATAGGAAGTAGGGCAGGAGAGGTGAGTATAGCTGAGTTAAATACAGGAGGAGGGCTACAGCTGGCTTTGCCAGTGTTGATATGAAGTAGGAAGGGGGAGTGTTGGAGAAGAAGTGGGAGGGGAGGGAATAACTTTGATCTGAGAATAAAGATGGCATGTGGGGTAGCACATTGGGTGCAACCATGGTGGAGGGCTATAGGGCAGCAGTCCCCAACCTGTTTGGGATCAGTTTAGTGGAAAGCAGTTTTTCCACTGACCCAGGGTTGCAGGTGGTGGTGGGGGGGATGGTTTCAGGAGGGCCTTACATTTATTGTGCACTTTATATTGTTATTACATTATGATACACCATGAAATAATTATACAACTCACCATAATGTAGAATCCGCGGGATCCCTGAGCTTGTTTCCTGCAACGAGGTGGTCCAATCTGGGGGTGATGGGGAACAGTGACAGATCGTCAGGCATTAGATTCTCATAAAGAGTGACAGCCTACATCCCTGGCAGGCACGGTTCACCATAGGGTTCGCATTCCTCTGAGAATCTAATGCCACTGCTGATCTGACATTAGGTGGAGCTCAGGAGGTAATGTGAGCGATGGGGAGAGGCTGTAAATACAGATGAAGCTTCGTTTGCTCACATGCCGCTCCCCTGCTGCTGTTGGCCCAGTTCCTAACAGGCCACAGACCAATACCAGTCTGAGCCTCAGGGGCTGGGGACCCCTGCTATAGGGGATAATTCCAGCAACTGGTTAGCAATGGCATTTCAGGGAGCCTTTATTCTATCTTGCTAGAACAGGCCTTCCAAAATGCCATTAAAGCACCACACAGAACTGTTCTCTACAGGCTTTTTTCTTGCCACTACCCTGGGCTGTTGCTCAGGAACTCAGGCCTGGTTGCCAAAGCAGACAACAGGCTGCTACTGCGGTTCTTCTGTGTGGCCTCTTCCAGTGGAAACTGGTTCCACCCATCATTTGTTTAGTATTTATGTTGGCAATCGGGAGGGAGTTTTCCCATTTGGAAGGATCTCGATCAGCTAACATTAGGTCAGGCTCCGCCCTGCTTTATGTTTGTTACCTTCGTTTTGTCCTGTAGACAGGGAAGGTTGATGAGAAAAGGACATTTCACAGCCTGAGTTGCACTTGCCCTCGCCCACCTCTGAGTGCTTACAGCTGTGTCTGGCCAGCAGAGGGCGCCATGGAGCTCTGTGCCTGCTGTGAGCCACCTGCTTCTTTAACCTTTCCTTTCCACAAGATTTCTCCTCGGCCGACTTTATAGAAACAAAACAAGGAAAGGTCATGTCATATATCGAATCTACAGAGATAACATTTGTGTTTGCTTATTTACAGATTCTGAAGAAAAAGCAAAGACCGAAGACTTTTCAATTTATTTACTTTATTTTCAATTTATTTACTTTATTTTCACAGAGTGAAACCCTCTTTTTTGGAGTACTTAAGTTACCTTCTCAATTTCATGAGTGTCATAGCTGGTCCTTGTAACAATTTCAAGGACTACGTAGCCTTCATTGAGGGGAAGCATATACACATGAAGTTGCTGGAGGTGAACCGGAAGCAAAAAGGTTTCCACAGTTTGCAAGAACCTTCTCCCACAGTAAGTTTTTAGTGTCTAGAGAATAGGGTTTTGCTGCCAGGATTGACTCTGTCGAATAATGGTTCTAATTAAGAAGCGAAACAGTTTACCAGAAAGCTTGGCCAATAACTTTTCTCATTTATTTAAAATACCAGTGTAGTTACTTCTTTGCAGCAGTTCTATGTAGGAGCAATGGGTGTTTATTTTACTGTGAAGCTCATCGGCTAGGAAAATGAAAGCAATAAGTTCATCAGTCAATATTTAGTGCATACAATGTACCCAGCACTGTGGAGTTAACATGTTTGAATACTATGGGTGTTTTGCCTTTATGAGTTGAAATTCAAGTATAGCCAAAAGATAATATGTCATAGAAGGTGGGGGGACCGCGGAACTGGAATTAATGTGTTTTTCTTGCAGAGCCCACTTATTGCAAAAGAAACCAGTTTTACCTTGGCATGCCCAAAGCTTGCTTATATTGACCTTGAGAGAATTTAAGATGACTTTTTGAAATAATATTTTAAAATTTAACCTGAATTTTATCCATCTCATATTAGTCAATATTAGGATAACTCACTGAACTTTACAAATATGCTGAATTTACTGAGATCAAATATCCTGTATTTAAGGGACATTTGTAATTAATGAAAGGAGTGGTGAAAATTGGGAAAGGAAGGAAATGAGGATATTTCGAGTTAAATATTTTGAAAGTGCTGAAGCCTTGGCAAAGAATATGAGTTAAGTATTTGAAAATGTAAGGAATTTATTAATTAGGTATGAGTTTTTAGAGATTTTTGACATCATTCGGTTCTCGGCACTTATGACTGGTCAAGTATCTCAAGTTCATCTGCTTTACCAAAACGATCTAGGAGTGAAGTCACCATGGCTGTGAGAGACACCAAAGTGACCGCATTTCTAGGCAGTATCTGTCACCTTAGTGTTTTCATGCTTCTTGTGCTTTTATTTATAAAATAATGTCATCAGAGAGTCTTTCTGCCACTCTCCAAGGAAACGCTTGCATTTCTGTGCACAGATAAGCTGAAGTGGTGAGGTTGCGTTTTAGTTCAAGACATACAGCTGGGAAAGGGCTGGGATCCATGAGCAGTGCCTATCAGTGGTACAGCTGTAATTGTGGCTGGGCGTGCTAAGCACTTAACTGGGATCCAGGCACTGTTCACAGGACCTTGCAAACACTCATTCACTTAAACCCCAAGGTGCCCTCTGAGGGAGGTGCTATTGCTATGCCCATATTACCAATAAAAGTCTTTTTTTTTTTTCTTATGAAGTCGGAGACTAGAGTTCTGTTGAATGTTGAAGGACTTTCCCTGAAATGTCAGGAAAACTGGGCAAAGTCACTCTGTCCAGAGGAATTTAAAAAGTCAGCACACAATTAACTCCAGAGTAGGCTACATCTAAACCATCCTGGAAGGCTGTCTAGAGCTCCCCATTATCTGCCTACGTCCTGGCTGGCCCAGGTATTCAATTACTTGCTCAGAATCCTTCATACCTGAGCCTCTGTCTTCTCTGCTGGTGACTCAAGGACATTTCCTGGGCTCTGCTGGTCACAGGAATAGAAGGCAAAAGTGCAAACATTTTTCATTTTTCTCGATGGAAACTTGCCACCCTGTTATCCATTTCTCTTGTGTTTTGGATAATATAAGTACTTGCATTTTGTTCGCTGAATATGCTGATGGAGATTTTCTTCCAGTCTAGATACATTCAACCCTCAAGTGTCAGAGGCATGTTCTGTATCTAAATATAGCACCTAATCTCCATTGTCAGATTTGTCTCATGAAAAAGAATGCCTATTTCCACTCCTTCTGGGGAATAATGCCAAGCAGCTGTTGGAGCAATGTTGTCCTTAGCAGGCCCATGCCAAAGCTGTTTTCTTCGCACCTGAGCCTTCTGCACGGTGACACTGATTTTTCCCCATTTTCAGGGAGCTGTGATACACAAGTTGGGCATCACCTTGGTGTCTCTCCTTTTGTTTTTGACGCTCACGAAGACCTTTCCTGTCACCTGCCTTGTGGATGACTGGTTTGTCCAGAAAGCAAGCTTTCCGGCTCGACTCTGCTACTTATATGTTGTCATGCAAGCCTCAAAGCCCAAGTATTACTTTGCATGGACTTTAGGTAAGTTTGATGGAGTAGCTGCAAATGAATGAGGGAGAAATGCTACTCCTTGGATGGCTTAGCCAGAACGACATTTTGGATCAGTTAATCAAAGAAGCTCAACACGTAATGGGAGGCAGTTGAGCCAGGGTCAGTTTTAACATTCCAACATAGCACTCCTCTCTCCCACCCTCCATAAACTCAGTTCTCCACAATAAGGAGAAAAACGTCCTGGCCGTGGTTTAAACCCAATGTTATTAACAGATGTCAAAACTTGGAAGCTTCTCCTTCTACCAATCAAAGCTGGCCGTGTAAAGCAGTGGAAAGTTGAGGGGAAATTCCGGAATGATCTGGCTTTCTTGTCATTTTTCTGGGTTTTATATAACATAGGATGCACCTTGAATTAATCTGACCAACACACATGCTAATTTAGGTTACACTTCTTTAAGGAACTGTTGGTTAGGTTTTTATGTCTTAGAAAGAAGCTGACTTCAAGTGATTTTTTTTTATTTTGGTAGAGAGTTCAACTTCATTTGGTTTTATCACACTTTTTTTTTTTCCTGTGGGATAACTTGGTTCATATTAAGCTTTTATCTCTTTCCTTTCAAACAATTTTAGACTACAGTTGCATAAAGCTTTGCTAACATGAGCTATAAACCTGTCTGTGTACTTAGAGACTGGGAAAGGGTGTTGATGAAGCATGGAGGCCCTGTCTGTATCACACTGGAACCCTTTCAGGGATGGGAGTTGGACATCTTAGCTGCAGGTGACCTGCACTTGATGTCAGAGAGCAGTGACTTGGCTTATTAAATAAAATAGATTATTAAACTTGATTTCCGAGGGTTTAGCCCACATCTCACGAATGAGGGAGTAGCACTTAATTGCTTGAGTTCCTCTTCCCTCTCAGTTCATCCTTCAAGTTTTAAGTTTCAATTAAAGTTTGCAGGTACCAAATTACTTTTTTAAAAAATTATTATTTTTTGGCTCAGTTTAATGGCTCATGACTATTATCCCAGCACTTTGGGAGGCTGAGGCTGGCAAATCACTTCAGGTCAGGAGTTCAAGACCAGCCTGCCCAACATGGCAAAACCCCGTCTCTATTAAAAATACAAAAAATTAGTGGAATAATCCCAGGTACTGTAATCTCAGCTACTCAGGAGGCTGAGGCATGAGAATCGCTTGACTCGGGGAGGTGGAGGTTGCTATAAGCTGAGATCACGCCACTGAACTCCAGCCTGGGTGATGGAGCAAGACTGTGACTCAAAAAAAAAAAATTATTTTTCATTGTGGCAAAATACATGTAAAATTTACCATTTTAATCATTTTTGAGGGTATACTTCAGTGGTATGAAGTTCATTCACAATACTATGCCACTATCACCACCGTCTATCTCTAGATCTTTTTCATCACCCCAACAGAAACTCTGTACCCAGTAAAAAATAACTCCCCATTCCTTCCTCCCCCAGTCCAAATTATTTTTAAGGGCCAACTTATGTCCCTGCATAAGTTCAGTCCAATGCTGTATTTATGTAACATTTGGCCAGAGAGATCTGACTTAGAGCTTTTGTAAAATTTACAATGAGGGAAATTTTATTTCTGTACGCTTTCAATTTAATTCAAGGAGTTTTTGTTGAGTACCAGATTCTGTGCTAGGAGGAATCGAAAGGTAGGACATTGACTCTCCCTCAGGATTGTAGCATGGTTGGGAACACAGATATACAACCACCAGGCAACACTCTTCCAGCGCCGTCCCAGTGGGAGGAATAAGAGAAAAGGATGAATACAGATTGGGGAAGGTTCAGTAGTCTTTTATCTTATTTCTTGTTCTGCAGTTACAAATGATGACTTCTGTAGCAGGGAGGCCTCAGACCTGCTATGATTGGAACCCTCCTTAGAACACTGAGCTTATTTTTTCTATGTTATTTATTTATTTTTTTTTTTGAGATGGAGTTTTGCTCTTGTTACCCAGGCTGGAGTGCAATGGTGCGGTCTTGGCTCACTGCAACCTCTATCTCCCAGGTTCAAGTGATTCTCCTGCCTCAGCCTCCCAAGTAGCTGGGATTACAGGCGCCTACCACCACGCCCAGCTGATTTTTGTATTTTTAGTAGAGATGGGGTTTCACCATGTTGGCCAGGCTGGTCTCGAACTCCTGACCTCAGGTGATTCACCCGCATCAGCCTCCCAAAGTGCTGGGATTACAGGCGTGAGCCACTGTTGCTGGCTAAATAATTAATAGTTTTAATTTCCTCTAATCTGAATGACTGTGTGTGTGTGTAGGGGACTGAGAGAGAGAGAGAGAATATATCTAATTCCCTCCTACTATCTTCTGCTGCCTCACCCACCTTCCTTTTCTCTTTTCTCTTCCTATCCTCCTGCTCCCATTTTCTGTATCTCAGAGCTTAAGGGCTGGCTTCTGGACTAAATCAGCTCCTGATCTCAGGAGGAAAGAAAGGCCATTCCTTTCTATAGGGAAAGTCTGAGACAAGGAGGGACCTGGACTGGGAAGTGTCATGGAAACAGGGAGCAACTGCACCTTTCTACCCTTTGGGGAGTTCCCCGGACATCTGGAGTACAGTGGAGAGGTACCCCTTCCTGTAGAGAGCTTTCTATGTGGACTTAGCTCTTTTTCTCCCCCCATGCTTCCCTTTTCTTTATTTTTTTTTGGGGGTAGCTTCAGTAGAAACACTTCATTAATTTGTATGGCCTCAATTTGAAGTTTGTTACAGTTTAGATTGCATGGGCTGGTTGGAAATTAACCTTTGTCTTATTTATGAATAAAGAAGCAATGAATAGTGTATCAGGGAATATTTAAACTGCCTAACCGAATAATTGTTTTCTCCAGCTCTCTTTAAAACACCATTTACATATAATTGATGAACTAATTACACATGATTATAAATTTAATCCTTAAAGCTGGCCTCTTGATGAATCTCCGCTGAGCTTCACTGTGTTAGCCTAGCTCTAGATACTGTTTATATTCAAATAATCAAACTATTTCTTTTGGACTTAGTGTATGGTCCTGGCTGTTTCCCCCCTACTACTTAGTGCTAGTACTAGTTAGTGAAACTTTAGTCTGGGCTGTTTTCTGAGGACCACATAGTCCAACAGATGGGCATACAAATTAATCTATCTGTAATAATAGATTGGAGACATGCACAGTACAAGTAAAACCACTTTTGGACTGGTGAACTTAGAGCCTGTCACTGCTCTGAGACAAAAACCAGGCTTGGATAAATGACTGTGGGATCACTAGGTGGAGTGGGGATTCCAACATCGGCTCAGTGTGGTTCTAAGAGTCAGTACTAGGGAACCTTTCACCATTTTCCTCTTTCAGGGTGGCTGTTACCTACTCAGGTTGTGGAATTGAGTTCTAGGATCGAGATTCTGGCATTGTTGACAAACTACATTTTTTTTTTTTTTTTTTGAGACGGAGTTTTGCTCTTGTCGCCCAGCTGGAGCGCAATGGTGCGATCTCGGCTCATTGTAACCTCCGTGTCCTGGGTTCAAGTGATTCTCCTGCCTCAGCCTCCCGAGTAGCTGGGATTACAAGTGCCTGCCACCACACCTGGCTAATTTTTGTATTTTTAGTAGAGATGGGGTTTCATCATGTTGGCCAGGTTGGTCTCGAACTGCTGACCTCAGGTGATCCCCCTGCTTCGGCCTCCCAGAGGTTACATGATCTTAAAGGTTACCTAATATCTCTGGCCTCAGTCCCCTTAATAGCATAATAATAATAATAGGAGCTAACCTTTCTTGAGTGTTAACTTGGGCCAGCACTGAGCTATCTACTGCACACATATTTAATTTTATTTAATCCTTTCAACAGCCTTTTAAATAGTAATTATATATTTTATGCTCAGAATAGTTTCTAGATTAAATATTTTCTAGCCAATGTAGTATGCTGCCAAATGGAGGTAGAAACCTTTCCAATTTCCACCCGGAGCCCATCCTTAACCTTCTGTCTCAATACTGTTAATGAAGATTAAATGAGGAACTGCCTGTAAAGTATTATATAGAGTCCTGGAAAGATAATAAGCACTGAAAACACACACACACACACACACACACACACACACACACACACACAGAGAGAGAGAGAGAGAGAGAGAGAGAGAGAGAGAGAGAATATAGTTCCATTATTCTCTTCTCTTAGGTCTAACCAGCTGTGCCAGAAATGAGGCTGGAGATGGAAGAAGGAATTTAGAAGTGGTTATACTGGTCCCAGTGACGGTCAGCCTGGCTCTGGTTTTAGTTCTCAACGCAGACCTCAAGGCCCTTAGTGTCGTTGATCTCTGTCACTCACGAATTAGTTCCCACACGTTTAAAACCATCAGTTTCTTACAGGCACACCCTCACTTTGTTTGTCTTTTTTTCTCCACTGGGTTCCCATCCAGTTGGCGAGGGGAGAATGACATAGAAGGACTTGGTCTCTTTCATGCTTCCTTCTAAAAGAAACCAGATCATCTTACAGTGAAGCCAAGTGTAAGAGAAGCAGTGTTAAATCATCATCTCTGCCAAATATAAATGAGACAGACTTAGGACAGGTTGTTTTTCTTTAAGGAAGCTCTTCAGAAGGCCATCTAGAGTTGGACTTTTATAGAAAAAGAAAGATTTCTCTAAGATCTCCAGATCTAAGATTTCATAGTGCTGGCTGGGCGTGGTGGCTCACGCCTGTAATCCCAGCACTTTGGGAGGCCGAGACCAGCGGATCACGAGGTCAGGAGATAGAGACTATCCTGGCTGACACAGTGAAACCCTGTCTCTACTAAAAATACAAAAAATTAGCCGGGTGCGGTGGCGGGCGCCTGTAGTCCCAGCTACATGGGAGCCTGAGGCAGGAGAATGGAGTGAACCCGGGAGGCAGAGCTTGCAGTGAGCCGAGATCTGGCCACTGCACTCCAGCCTGGGTGACAGAGCGAGACTCCGTCTCAAAAAAAAAGATTTCATAGTGCTATCTCTTAATTATTTTGATTAGTTCATTTTAGTTTTTTCTTAGAAAATATTCTAACAGATTTTTAAATAAGCAGAAAGACAATTAGCCTCTTGGTCATCATAATAAAAGTGTGTTGAGTTCATTAAGGAATTGAATGGAGATGAAATTTTTCCAGCAGGAGGACATTCTCTTATAGTTCAGTGATGTAAGATAAAGATGGAAACAGGAGCTTTTAAAGGGACTTTATGGGTGGCTGGCTTGGATGATTTTGTCCACACGTGGCCTCCATTGCAGCTGGCCCCAGAGTCACACCTCTAGCTCTGTCCTTTGTCTTGGGACCTAAACTTTTTTTAACCCCATCTCGGCAGCTCCAACCGATACACTACTGGCAGGTCATGCTTAACATGTCCAGACGGAGCTCCAGTCGCTCTTGCGGAGCTGGTTGTCCTCCTGATTTAGCACTACCTCTTAGGTAATGCCCTGCTGTCTTTAGTGACAGCTCTGAGACCTCTTCTGGGTCCCCTGTTTCTTCTGGTCTTTGTATTTGAACTCAGATCTATTTTTACCTCCTTTCTTTTCTCCCCTCCTGTCAAGTTGGTCACTAAATTCTCCTGTTTACTTATTCATTTTGGTTCTTCGTTTCTTGTTTATTCTCATTTTTGCATTCTACGGACATCTAGCTTCTTTCTTCTTACCTTAGGAGGTGTTCCCTAAATGCAAGGGAATGAATGCCTAAAAATCAAGGTTACCAAACAGCCAATACATGTTTTTCTGCTTCAGCATGTTAGCAGATCCTTTACATTTTGGGGTTCCTTTTCCAAGGACACTACTGCATATTTCTCCATCTTGAAGTTGACAGATATTTAGTGTCTTTTAAAAGCAGCAATGTGACTTTTGTTCCATATCCTAATGTGTTACTTTAAAAACCATAGCTGATGCAGTGAACAATGCAGCTGGCTTTGGGTTCAGCGGAGTGGATAAGAATGGGAATTTCTGTTGGGATCTGCTTTCGAACCTAAACATCTGGAAAATTGAGGTGAGTGTATGATGCTTTTAAGTCCAACTTCCATAGTGAAGAAAGCAAATGGTTTGCTTTGAGTGTCATATCCCCAGAATGCTTCATCCATGTGTCTGAAGAAAAGCTGCTCTCAGGGGATTGCCAGGCTCAGCAGCCTCCTGGACATTTTGAATCTCAGAATAGTTTTTTTCTGTCTTTTTTTTTTTCTTTTTCTTTTTTAAAGATATCTACTTTCTTGACAGTTTTAATGGTTCAAGGAAGAATGACACAAAAACATCTGAAAAAGAGCCAGGAAAATCTTTTTGTTGTTTATATTCTTGTTCTTTCAACTAGAAGGTCCCAATGTGTGATCGCTCTCTCTTCTCTTTCTACCTATTTCAGTGATGAATGCAGACTGGAAGCTCCTGTATTTTTATTTCAATATTGCAAACATTCTGTGTGGTTCCTTTGGAGGCATTTATAATGCATTCACTTTTAAGAAGAATTGTCATAATGTACAACTTTTAGGCCACTAGAATAGTGTGGTTTTTCTGTCTTCATTCTTCCACCACAATTTTTGGTCTGCTGTCATTATCAGAGGTGGTCTCCTTGGGGCCACATCATTCTGGGTTTTCTTTGCATTGATAGCTCTTGGAATAAACAGGAATGCCAAGTCTCAGACCCTTTCCCCCCTTTAGCTGAATGGGCGTGATTCTCAACATGCAGAAGCATTGGGTTACTAGCCAGGTGACTCATGTTTGCTGTTGGTTTTGGTTTTCCACCTGCCACAGGGCAGACAGAGCCCACTGGAGAGTTTGGTCAGGAGGGTTTGTGTGTATAGAGCAAGAAGCCAGAGATAGATGGAAACTGACCACCTGCTACCCACATTGGGTGGAAAGTAGGCCAGAAGGAGGCATGGGGGAAACCCCCAACATCTTTTGCCTGAGGCTTTTTGCATGTGGATGGCCTCCAGAGGGAAAGTGATCTGCATTTTAACTACAAAACATGGTGGAATTTATAGGGAGGATTATATTTTTACTTTTCTTTTTTTTTTTTTAGCATTGAGACAGCGCTACTTCAAAAGACAGACAAGCAGAAAGAAATAGAAGCATGCCACTGTTATCTAAGTAAATTACATCATATGTTCAACTTAAACTCATCATGCTATTTGGTTACTCAGGTCAATCAGATTCGACAGATATTAATTGAGGGCCTACTGTGAGCAAAACATTCATTTTTGTATAGTCCTAGAGGATCTGGGGTCTCCTGTGGGTGGAAGGCCTTGGCAGATGCTGTAAGAGCGTGGCCAAGGTCCAGCATCAGTTCTGAATGAACAAATAATGCTTTTACTATTTTTTTTTTTTTCTTTTTTGGCGATTTGTCTGTCCCAGCTGTAGTGTCCATCTCGCTCACTGCGCTCCGCCTCCGGTTCACGCCATTCTCCTCTCAGCTCCCATAGCTGGACTACGCCCCCCCCCCGGCTAATTTTTGTATTTTTAGTAAGACGGTTCCGTGTTAGCCAGGATGGTCTCGATCTCCTGACTCGGATCCCGTCTCGCCCAAGTGCTGGATACAGCTTGCCACCGCCCCCTGCTTTTACTATTGGTCGCTGCACGTGAGGCAAGAAGCAGTCCCCGGTCACGATGGGCCACAATGTAAGTGGACAAGGTCCAGCTTTCAGAATGACCTATCTCAGTTTTGGAAAAGCAGTATAGGTGATCCGTAAGCTTCTCTTTTTTACATAGATGATGTCAGAGAGAGTTCAAGTGTGTTACGACTTTTTCTCACTAACATTCTTCTCTCCCTCAAAACTCATGGACTGGCTGCCTTGGAGTTTTGTTGGGTAAATGTCCTTTAGGGTGGTCGCCCTTGACCTTCAGCTGCCTACTAGTCCCCCTAGCTATGCGCCAAAAAACAGAATCCTTCCACAGTGGACATGTCTTCAGGGTAAAGGGCTAAGTCATTAAGTATGTATTTCTTATAAAAGAAAACCAGAAGGAGAAAGTTTACATTGTCATCATACATTTGATATAGAATAAGGAGGTAAAGAAAAACAAGGAAGTCTGATTAGTTAAGACACCCCAAGGCTGGGCTTATAGCATTTTATTAGCCATAGAAGAAATAGATAAATAAAACTCCTTGAGGTTTTGAAATAAAAACTCACAATAAAAAGATCTATTTTCCATCTATCTTCCTTCCTCCCTCTTTTCTCTCCCTTCCTCCTTCCTTCTGTCCCTTACAGACATACTACATTAGGCCAATGTGTGGCCTGTATATGATTTTCTTATGGTTGAAAACACTTCAGAAAAAAGTGGCACTTAGACTTTCTACCTTCTTTAGGAATTCTGATCCTTGTATGTTTGCATCATGCTTTTTATTTTATATTATTTTATTTATTTATTTATTTATTTATTTTTGAGATGGAATCTTGCTCTGTTGCCCAGGCTGGAGTGCGGTGGTGCGATCTCAGCTCACTGCAACCTCTGCCTCCCAGGTTCAAGCAATTCTCTTGCCTCAGCCTTCTGAGTAGCTGGGGTTACGGGTGCCCGCCACCATGCCCAGCTATTATGTATTTGTAGTAGAGATGGGGTTTTGCCATGTTGGCCAGGCTGGTCTTGAACTCCTGACCTCAGGGGATCCGCCCACCTCGGCTTCCCAAAGTGCTGGGATTACAGGCGTGAGATACCACGCCCAGCTGCATCGTGCTTTTTATCACTAGACTTGGATAAGACCTTTTTTTGTTTGTTTGTTTTTTCTAAAGAGAAAACGCAGGTAATGGGTTATCATGGGGATGTGCCTTCTCAGTAGTTGATTTGCTTGCGTCACTGCCAGTTGGGTGATATTTGTTTCCTTTCCTGTGTTTTGATCCCTTCATGCATAAAATCTCTTAGTATTCCAGAAACAATTGGAAACGTTGGAACCTGAGTAGCTATCTATAGAGTTAACTGCACAAGACTGACCTAGTTTTAGAGGGCTACACAGTGAAAAGATGACAATTAAATTTAAGCTGTCCCCGTAAAGGCACCAAATTCCCATGATTAAACTTTTCCTGGGGCAAATTCCTTTTTAGAATATTTAATTATAAAATTCAGATGGCTTAAAAAATTTTAACCAGAGTGGAAGGGAAACCCACAAAACGTTCCTTCAGTTTTCCCGTAATTTGAAAATACATTTTGAAAAAAAATTGAGATCTTGCAAGCCAAGTTTTAGTTGCAAAGTGGATCTTATAAACAGCAGAAAATTGTCCTGTGTAGGAAGGAACAGCTGATTTGCTCTTGACTGTGAGTAGTCACTATTGAAATACCGTATCTAACCTGCTGCCAGGGAAACTGGGGAGAACTTCCCATTACTTGGGGTATTTTTAAAGTTAATGATAGGTGTTATTTTCTTCTTTCCAGACTGCCACAAGTTTCAAAATGTACTTGGAAAACTGGAATATTCAGACAGCTACTTGGCTAAAGTGGTAAGAAAAACAAAAACGACCTCATTACTTAGGGCACTGGGATATGTTTGGAGGGGAGTCAGTAGCTGAACAGTGGGAGTCTGCCTGTGGCAATGTCATCTGACACTCTTGTTTTGTATTAACATCTGTGCCCCGTAAATGAAAAAGTAGAAATACAGTGATTTGGGAAGGTCATAATGTAGCATATTTATTTTATAACCCTGAATGCTGCCATTCCTGTATACCAGGTCCTGGTTTTATCCTCCATCAATCCCATGAGATGTTGTGAGTCATTACCCCCATTTTACAGGTGAGGAAAAGTGAGACCCAGAGAGGTTATGTCACTTGCCCAAAGTCACCCAGCTAAGGGACAGATACAAGTACAAATGGTCTGCTTTCAGAATTAGATGATTCTTCTTCTTCTTCTTCTTCTTCTTCTTCTTCTTCTTCTTCTTCTTCTTCTTCTTCTTCTTCTCCTTCTTCTTCTTCTTCCTCTTCTTCTTTTTTTTTTTTTTTTTTTTTTTTTTTTTTTGAGAAGGAGTTTCACTCTGTCACTCAAATTAGAGTGCAATGGTGCGATCTTGGCTCACTGCAACCTCTACCTCCTGGGTTCAAGTGATTCTCCTGCCTCAGCCTCCCGAGTAGCTGGGATTACAGGTGTCCACCACCAAGCCTAGCAAATTTTTTGTATTTTTAGTAGTGATGAGGTTTCACCATGTGGGCTAGGGTGATCTCAAACTCCTGACCTCAGGTGATCCACTTGCCTCAGCCTCCCAAAGTGCTGGGATTACAGGCGCGAGCCACCGCACCCGGCCCAGAATTAGATTCTTGCCCTCTCTGCTGTGCTGCCTCTTACCTTGAGGGAGAGTCTATTGCTCAGATGTCAAGGAAGGTTAATGCCTGCATCAAATCACCGATGACTGCAGTGTTCACCCCTAGCAGTAAACGCTTTATGGTATCCCAGATGTTTATTCTTTTAAAATTTATATTTTTGTTGATATTTCCCTATCCTTTTGTTTTCCTACATGTTCCAAAATTAAAAATGTTATTTACTACAGAAATAATAATATGCCGTCCTTGAAGCAGCAAGCTCTGTTACCTAGTGATATGCCTATCATAATTAATACAGGGAGTATGTAAAAATATTAAGCTTTAAAGGAGATTCTACTGTTTTGTTAAGCAGCATCTTTCATGGGTCAAAACATTGGGGTAAGAGAAGAGACAGAGTGTGTAGTAATTCCTCCAAAGTAAACTCATGCAGTATTTTCTGACAATTGATCTGAACATAGCCATCTTGAAATTTTGGCCTCAACATTATTGCTATTAATTAATTTTGCAAATGATTTTAGCATAAACTTCTGTTTCTACATACAGAGTACTCCCAATGTGCTGAGTCATCCAATGTCCAAATCTGCTCTCAGTCCTGTGTTCATCTCTCCAAATGCATTCTTTTTCTTTTTATGAAGAGGGAGCCATCATGCTTAGTTTGTGTTTAAATTGGTTGCTGTTGACCACCCATACAGTGCTGTGTTGGTGTTACCTGTTTGAATTTCTATTTTATTTTTTATTTGGGTCCTCTCATTTAGCAAATGAGGTGGTGGCTTCCTTAGAGTGCCACTGGCAATTCATAGACTGAGTTTTGGGGGGAAATTCCGTATCACTTTTTTTTTCAAATAAACAGTCAGAAAGCCAAAAACCTTCAGGGTATTTGCTGACATTTGCTAGATTGTCACAGTATCACTCTTTAAGGCAGATTCATGGATTGAAGTCTGATAGACACTGGGAGACCTGAAGAGGTCACATAACCGACATATTGATTTTGTAATGGAGTCATTGCCAAAAGAGATGAACAGGGTGATGGTGCTGATTAGGTTAGATGGCATAGGAGCCTGGTGGGAAAGGTAAATTAATTTTTACTAAATAAGGATATTCATTTCTAAAGACCCTGATTCCAAAATTGTTACTGACAATGGCACTTACTTAAGCACCCCCAGTAAATGAGGCCATTGGTGGATTAAGCATCTGTAAGGCAGGAACTCCTGCTGGGTGGAAAGTGATCACTCAGACCTATAACAGATGTAACAGATGTAGTGTGATGGGTCCAGATCATTTAGTCTATGGAAATTAAAAATGTATAACATCCCTTCAAAAGGCTGAGCTGTGAATTACCTATCTGGTAACGCTTAAGGAAATCAGGGTAGTCCAGGCTGCTTGGATTGCACTGCAAGTCCCTGAAGACGGTTAGGGAGGCATCGCATCAGTAATGGACCAAATGATTTCTGCATAGTCTTATCCAAGAAACAACAGCTGTAGTTAGAAGTTTCTGGTATGTTTCACCTGTGTCTTGTTCCTTCCTGTCTTCGCAGCGTGTGCTATGAACGGGTTCCATGGTACCCCACGGTGCTAACCTTCATCCTCTCTGCTTTGTGGCATGGTGTCTACCCCGGATACTATTTTACCTTCTTAACTGGAATTCTTGTCACATTAGCAGCTAGAGCGGTAAGCATCCTTTAGGCCTAGGGTCTTTCCCCTCAGCAATCTGATGCCTGCATGTTTGTTATCTGTTGGGTCCTAGTAGGGTTGGGGGTGGGATGTGAACATGGGAGCGATGTTTTGAAAAATCAAACAGTATGCAAGAGTTTTCCCATTAGAGAAATACTTGAATATGTAGGAACCTGGAGTCATTACAAAAATGGTTAACCATTTTATGTTCGTAGTTTGCGAAACAAAAGGAATTGTAGGGACAATGTTTAGTACCCTAAGAGATGAAAACATTTTTAATCGTTAAAGTCTGTGAACATATACAGTCTACTAAGTACAGATGATGATGATGATTAATTAATGTAGGCACCATAGGACTTCAATTTGCTTATACTTTGCTTAATTTCTCATTTCATTACTCTGAGCCTAGAAATAACTCACAAAGTCTCTTGAGCAGTCAATGAGGTAGCGGCCACAGGAAGTGAGTCTGTCGGAGATTAATCTAACCTCGTGTGTTCACATGCCCAACGCAGTTAGCTTAGTTTGTGTTTGTGAATTTTGTAAATTTGCTTCTCTAGGTTTTTTCAGGAGCCTGTAGTTTCTCTAGATTGTTCTGCAATTTGCTTGTTGTACAGCACGATAATAAAGAATAAAACTTTCCTCCAAGAAGAAGACGAGCATGCATAGAAGTAATTGTGATTCAGTGCTTTCGTTGCCAAATACGGGAGTTTTGTATTTAATTTTATTTTAATCTTTGATTGTGATTGTGGCCTTCCTTATTTCTGATGCCAAGAGTTTTTATTGACATTGGTTGAGCCATATTTTGGATGTGAATTCAGGAGCCCCCACATAGCTATCCACTCACCGTTTAATTCATTTTATCCTGTGAAGGTTTCAGGAGCCCTACTATGTGCTAGTCAGTGATTTAGGTGTTGGGCTACTGCAGTGAACAAGACAAGAGTCCCTCCCCTGAGGACCTCTTGTTTTAGTCAGACACGGGTGTGCTGGAATATATATATATGAACAAAGTGAATTACTGTTCATGCTGGCTAGTATACTTTTGAAATTAAGTGCAAATTTTACGTATTTGTACATAGAAAACAGGGGGGACATTTTCTTCTCTCCTGTTCATGTAACTATTTAGATTATAAAAGAAAAGAACAAGTGGTCAGGCCAAATTAAGAAATAAAACTCAGAATTCTGTTTGCTAATATATCCAGAGGATTATTCCCTCAGGTGTCTTTTACTCTACGGTCTCAACTGGCGTAAAGGCTCAGATTTGTGTAGAGCTTTTCTTTTGGATGGCCTGGAAACACTATTCGCAAACAAATTATGTAGGGGATAGAGAGGAGAGAGTTGATAGAACAGTGTTTTTATTTTGTCTAGAAGGAGATTGAACTCAACAGTCATGAAGTGTCTTTGGGTCCTAGAAGTTACCCAGTAAAATCTCACACCTGACGTGCAGCATTGCTCGATGGATGGACCCTGGTCTCTGTCCTGAGGAACTTAGGGCTGACAGGCAGCCTTGGGCACTGATGCGTCTTCTGCTTTGAGGCTGACCTGCCTATTGCCCAGCCATTGTTTCCAGCTCTGCCTTTGACCTGAATCTGGAAACTGGGGGTCTTTCTAGAGCCAGATCTAGTCACATGTGTCAGAAGACCTACAAAGGAGTGTATCCTTTGACCTAGCATTTTCCATTTCAAAGAATTGTCTCTTTACCTAAGTCTCAGTTTCTTTATCTGTAAAATGGGAATCATGATGCTAACATATTAAGCTTGATGAGAGAATCAACCAGAGATGAGTCATGCAAAGCATTAACACAGGCTTGGCACAGAGTAAGCACTCAGTAAATGGTAGCTGCTTGTATTATTAGTAATAGTAATATTATTTGTGTTATCATTACCTGAAGGAAGTAACTAGGAAACAGGGCAGAGATTTATTTACAAGGATATGCATCACAGAATTGTTTATAATAGCAAAATGGGATGGAAAGACAAGCTAACTCTTCCAGATTAACTTAAAATTATATTAGAGATTAATATTTACTGACATGGAAAAAAGTGCATGATATATTACTAAATGAAAAAATGAGCTAGGAATTATATTGGTGCCAGTAAGAATATTAACATGGATGCATATGAATAGAAAAAGCTTGGATGGCTCTGCGCCAAGTTTTTAAGTGATGCTTTCCTTTGGGAGGTGTTAAAAGAGAAAGAACATTTTTTTTGTTAGCTTAGTTGTTTGACCATTTTTCTATAGTGAACACGTATTATTATTATTATTATTTTAATAAGAAAAGTTGGCCAGGCACAGTGGCTCACACCTGTAATCCCAGCACTTTGGGAGGCTGAGGCGGGAGGATTGCTTGAGCCCAGGCGTTCAAGACTAGCCTAGGCAGCAAAGCGAGACCCACATCTCTGCAAATTTTTTTTAAAAAATTAGCTGGGCATGGTGGCATGTGCCTGTAGTTTCAGCTACTTGGGAGGCTGAGGTGGGAGGATCATTTGAGCCCAGGAGTTTTAAGCTGCAGTTAGCTATGATTGTATCATTGCACTTCAGCCTGGGTGACAGAGTAAGACTCTGTCTTGAAAAAAAAAAAGGAGTCCTGATGGTATTTGTAGCTGAGAATACAACTCAGATGTTGGTCGTCTTCTGTAGCCTGTGTTGCTGTGGCATACTACCTGCATGCGCAGAGTAGAAGTTGTCATTTGTTTTTTACCCGCTCCTCACTGCAGTTGCCTGTGTTGGCTTGCAGGTCAGGAACAACTACAGACATTACTTCCTTTCTTCAAGAGCTCTCAAGGCTGTGTATGATGCAGGCACCTGGGCCGTCACTCAGCTGGCTGTCTCTTACACGGTGGCACCCTTCGTGATGTTGGCAGTTGAACCGACCATCAGCTTATACAAGTAAGTTTCCATTGTTCTCAGTCGCCATCTAGTAAACAACTCTATTTTCACTGTGTTTGACTTAGGAGGCAGTACATTGAATGAAGCAGTCCTAAACACTTCGAACGGGGGCTTCGGTGTGGGAAATGTCCATAGAAGCTTTAAAAGGAAGTGGCTGTCCTGGAGACGCCAGTGTACAAATTCCGATACATACGAGCACATTTGACAGGAATCCGTTAAGCCATTCAGAATGTCACTCAGGGGCCCTCTCATGGCAGTATATTTTGAAGGGATGGACCCTGATTAAAAAAAAAACTCAGAGGGTGAATTTGCTGCCCTTAGCTCTTCCTCCTGGAGGATAGGAGGTAGGCTGTATTGGGGACTATGAGGTGTCTGAGAGCAGGACAGAAATGGAGGCAGGAGTTGGGGTGCGGCTGAGGCTGGCATTGTCTGATCGAGTGGTGTGCAGAAGGGCTCCCTGGTGAGGCTGGTGGGGGATTTATGCGGCCAGTAGCACGTGTTGGAGGGGCGTATGTGGAATTGAGGCTGGAGGAGGAGGAGGCTTGCACCACAGACCAACCCTTATAGTCAAACACCTGTGCTCCAGGTGAACTAATTACTGACTTTCATTCTTGCACAGTTATGTGTGATGAGTTGTGTTTCTCCATGGTTGTGAAGTGGTTGAGCACATGCTCTTGTGAACTGATGGTGTGTGACCTCTGGCAAGTTGTTAACCTCTTTTACCTGTGTTTTCTCAACTGGAAAATGAGGCTGAGAAGAGAACTCACCTGAGAGCACCATCGTTAGTGCTGGGTGTTAGAATTAATGAGGTAAATGTGCAGAGGGCTCAGGCCAGTATCTGGCATATAATCTGTACCTAATAAATGCTACCTTGCATGATTTAATGAGTTGCACGGGCTTTTCTAGGTTAACTTTGGAACATCATATCAGTTTTTAAAAGGTGACTTGGAGGCCGGGTGTGGTGGCTCACGCCTGTAACCCCAGCACTTTGGGAGGCCCAGGTGGGTGGATCACGAGGTCAGGAGATCGAGACCATCCAGGCTAACATGGTGAAACCCCGTCTCTACTAAAAATATGAAAAATTAGCCGGGCGTGGTGGCGGGCGCCTGTAGTCCCAGCTACTCAGGAGGCTGAGGCAGGAGAATGGTGTGAACCCGGGAGGCGGAGCTTGTAGTGAGCCCAGATCGCGCCACTGCACTCCAGCCCTGGGAGACAGCGAGACTCCGTTTCAGAAAAAAAAGAAAAAAAAAAAGGTGACTTAGAAATAAACAGTACAAACACACCTTCTTTTTAAGTTGGGAATTCCCTATAGCTGATGGAGGGGTCATGAAGGGATTGAAGAAGTTTTTACTACTCAGTATGTGTGTAAGTATCTGTAAGTGGGATGATTTATTTGAGGCTATAGAAAGAGAAGGTTGAGGGAACCATACAACACTGATCAATGACGTCCATGCTGTTACAATATATGCTTTTATACTTCTAGTTGGGTGATAAGAAGTTATATCAATATAACATGGAAGCTGTGCTGGTTTATACCCAAATTTTTCTATGCAAAGAGGTGTCAGAAGAGTGGGAAGAGAATTATAAGCTTCTGTCAAAAAGAAGCCATCAGTTCAGCTGCTAGAGAGGTAGGAGTCATTTCAGTCCTGGATGAAGAAAATGGAACTGAGAAACCCAATATATGTGGCCATTGAGCATTTGAAATGCAGCTAGTGGCGCAGAGGAACCAAATTTTCAATTTTATTGAATTGTAATTAATTAGAATTTTAACAGTCACGTGTTGCCAGCGGCTATTCCAGATTGATGACACCTCAAACAGGAGCCCCCTTCACTGGGACTCCCTCCTCAGAGAGGCGCACCCCCAAGCTGGCATTCTGACTGCTTCTGCCTCCTTGTGCCCACCTAGGGCTGCCCCACGTGCTTCCAGCTCCAGTTTCATTCCTATTTGTCAGTGCCCTCAAGCCAACATTTGCCCTTTTGTCTTCTGCATTTTTAACATGCCCAGAAGCAGCCTTTGGCACCATTGAGCTGTCTGCAGGGGCTGTCCAAATTGTTTCCTTTAGAGCTCTGTTTTTGTTACAGAGTCCTCCTAGGTTTTGAGTTATGTATTTCTAACATGATTTTTTTTTTCCCCTGTAAGCCCTGGTATTCTAAGCCCCTGATATTGCCTCATAAGAGATTTTTAAGGAATATATTGATCATGTTATAGCAGAAGCGCCTGTATTCCACTCAGTATCATGTAATACCTGTAGTGTGCTAGGCATTGTGCTAGAATGTGGGGCTAGAATGGAAAGCAAAATATAGAAATCATTTCTGCTCTCACTGGGGTGATAGCTTGATGGGAAAGACAGGTAGTAATTGACAAATGTATAAATACATGCTGAGATCGTACTTTTAGTGAATGATATAGAGTTTTAAGAGAGTATGTAACAGGAATCTGCCTCAGCCTAGGCATTGGGCACATCTTTTTGAGCTCAGTGCTGGAGGTTGTGCAGTGGGAGTGAAGCAGGCTCAGTGTGTGTGAGCATCGTGGGCAGTGCTCCAGACTGGGAAACAGCCTGGAAAAGCCCCGTCATGTAGCCTCCCATAGTGTAGCATGACGCTCCATGCACTGAAGACCAGGGAAACGTGAATGTAGGCAGAACATAGAATCCAAGGTGGAGGGAGGTGAGCTGAGCTGAGGAGAGCAGAGGGTAGGTATCAGTGTCCCTGTTTATCACATGAGGAAGTGGAGGCTCAGAGAAGGTGAGTAACAAAATTTACACAGCAGCAAAATGTTAAACCCGAGTTTCAGACTCAGCGTTCCCTTAATAGCAATATCAGTAGTGGAGTTCCTAAAAATTTCTTTAGGAGAAGTTATTTTGGATGCAAACTACTGCTTGGGGATCATAATAAGTGATTTGTTAGTGATAATATTGCATTTAGCCAACTAAAACAACAATTCCTGGGCTTAGGCAGGAACTCAAGGGGCAGAATTAAATTATCAAGTAGCTTTTCACTTATTTTTAAAAACAACCCAGAATATTTTTTTTAAACGTCTTTGTTTAGGATGAAACAGGAGTTGACATTTTTTGGGTCAAGTAGGCCTATTTTAAATGATCCAGCCTAGTGTATTTTCTGGTTTCTAGTTATTTATATAATTTAAGTTTCCTGTCTAGATCAGCTCTGTCCAATAGAAGTTTCTATGATGGCTGGGCATGGTGGCTCACGTCTGTAATCCCAGCACTTTGGGAGGCCAAGGCGGGCGGATCATGAGGTCAGGAGTTTGAGACCAGCCTGGCCAGCATGGTGAAATCTCGTCTCTACTAATTATACAAAAAATTAGCCGGGCATGTTGGCATGTGCCTGTAGTCCCATCTACTAAGGAGGCTGAGGCAGGAAAATTGCTTGAACCCGGCAGGTGGAAATTGCAGTGAGCTGAGATCACACCACTGCACTCCAAACTGAGCGACAGAGTGAGACTCCATCTCAAAAAAAAAAAAAAGAAGTTTCTATGATGACAGAAATACTCTACATCTGTGCCATCTGAGATGCTGGCCACCCAACATGTGTGGCCAGTGAGCATTTGAAATGCAGCTGGGTGGACGGAGGAACTGAATTTTTAATTTTATTGAATTTTGATTAATTAGAATTTTAACAGCCACATGTTGCCAGCGGCTATTCCAGATTGATTACACCTCAAACAGTGTTTTCATAATCTTTTAAGAAAATCCCTGAATTTGGACAAGAAAGAAAATTGCATAGTTTTTTAGTGATGGCAGGCCTGGTTGTGTTCCAGATCTGTTCCTCCCCTTTGGCGAAATTCAGTAGCCAGCAGTAAACCGCAGATGTTTGCAAACGCTTTTCTCAGTAGATCCTCATTGCTTAACGTTGAAATTTCGCTTGTACTTCATTGTTAAGTCTAGTCAGTCTAGTCAGTGTTCAGTCGAGAGTGGCTTCAGATCTCAGCCTTAGAGTGCTCAGTCTAACTTCTTTAAGTTGTAAATGAGCCCAAGTGAATACTCAAATATATTATGAACGAACCTTTCGATGAAATCATTTTGAAAAGCAAATTCACATACATCATTTTGTCTTTAATTGGATAACTCTTTCTTAAATTCAGTGGGTAATAACGTTAGAATTTGTTTCTTTTTTTGTTTTTTGAGTTGGGGTTCTCCTCTGTTGCCGAGGCTGGAGTGCAGTGGCGTGATTGCGATCTCAGCTTGCTTCCGCCTCTGCCTCCTGGTTCAGGTGATCCTCCTACCTCAGCCTCCCACCTCAGCCTGCTGAGTAGCTGGGATTATAGTTATGTGCCACCGCACCTGCCTAATATTTTTTATTTTTGTAGAGATGGGGTTTTGCCATGTTGCCCAGGCTGTTCTCAAACTCCTGGGCTCAAGCATTCTACCCACCTTGGCCTCCAAAGTGCTGGGATTACAGGCCTGAGCCACTGCACCTGGCCAGAACATTAGAATTTGCATAGAAACTTTCATAGATGGCAAACTCTTTGAGAGCAGGAACCCCGCCTAATTCATCTTTACATCTGGGTCCTTAGGCCAGTACCTGACATGATCAATAAATGTTAGTTTAGTCTTTCTATAATAGAAAGATGAAATATTCCTTCAAATTTTAGAGAAATATGAAATGTCAGAAGAGGTTACTAAACCTCACTAGGTGTTTTCCACTTGATGCTCAAAGTAGCTGGATTTTACCTAACATAATTGTCCCAGTGTAGATTTGGCCACGTATGAAAGATTAAGGCAAAGCTCAAGAACAAAGTGTAACATATTTTGGATGTGCAGATTTTGAAAGCTGGAGTTATCTGTGGCTAAGGTGTGCCCGTGAGAATCCCAGTCTATACCTGTTAAACCAGCGTGTTTATCTGTGGAGCACTTTTTCCACTCTCAGTAATGTCTTGGTTTAGACAGTAAATTAGATGGTCACTTGCTGTGGCTGCTTACCCCTTCCCTGGTTAAACAGCTGTTAATCATGTACTTGTCTTGTTTCCATTCCCACATGGGAAGGGGTGGAGGCTGGTGCCTTTTTGTAGATCCAGTTTATTGTTTTGCATATCCTAAGCAGTAAATGCTTACTGAAAGAATAAATGAATGCATGTATGTTCGCTTCTGTACGAGCTCTTCACTATTCTGTAAATATTGTCGGGGAGGCATTCCTCCTGCTAAAGGATGGAGAAGTTTAGGGTCATATGCGAGTTTTCTGATTCTAATGTGCCTGACCTTATAATCACAGAAGTTAGGGAATGATGCATAAATTAATTGTGCTTTCCTCCTTCCCCATCGTTATTTTCCTTTCTTCAAAAAGCACTAGGGAAAATATAAGTTGAACCTTTCCAAATGGATCTAGAACAGTTGTGCCAATGCAGCTGTTTCTAATTACTTGCATGTATTGATATGCTCGATATTTATTGCATATCTACGTTGTACATACTGCTGAATACTACGCTTCGCAATAGAAATCCACAAACATCAAAAGCAAAACTTGTTTTTTTATTAGTTTAGATGACAGTTATTTTTAGGGTTGTGGACTGGATTTTCAAAATCGGGATTCTTCTAGCTCATAAGACACAAAAGAAGAACCTTTTATACTTGAGTAGAGCAATGGGTTAAAGTGTTAGTTGCATTGTGTTTAGGGAATAGGATACAGTCATATGTTGCTTACCAACAGGGATATGTTCTGCGAAATGCATCGTTAGGCAATTTAATTGTTGTTTGAACAGCATAGTGTATACTTGCACAAACCTAGATAGTATAGTCTACTATACACTGAGGCTATATGGGATAGCCTATTGTTCATAGGCTGCAAACTGGTGCAGTATGTTACCATACTGAATACTGTAGGCAATTTAAACACAATGGTAAGTATTTGTGTATCTAAACATAGAGAAGGTACAGTAAAAATCTGGCAAAGATAAAAAAGGATACACCTGTATTACCATGAATGGAGCTTGCAGGACTGGAAGTTGCTCTGGGTGAGTCAGCGAGTGAGTGGTGAGTGAGTGTGAAGGCCTAGGACATCACTGTACACTACTGTAGACTTTAGAAACACCATACACTTAGTCTGTACTAAATTTATTAAGAAAACTTTTCCTCAATAATAAAGTAACCTTAGCTTACTGTCACTTTTTTAACTTTATAAACTTTAAACGTTTTGAAAACGGACTCTTTTGTAATAAAACACCTTGGTTAAAACAAACATGGTGGCCGGGCATGGTGGCTCATGCCTGCAATCCTAGCAGTTTGGGAGGCCGAGGTAGGTGCATCACCTGAGGTTGGGAGTTTGAGACCAGCCTGACCAACATGGAGAAACCCTGTCTCTACTAAGAATACAAAATTGGCCGGGTGTGGTGGCGCATATAGTCCCAGCTACTTGGGAGGCTGAGGCAGGAGAATCGTTTGAAACTGGGAGTTGGAGATTGTGGTGAGCTGAGATCATGCTATTGCACTCCAACGTGGGCAACAAGAGCAAAACTCCATCTCAAAAACAAACAAACAAAAAAAGAAACAACAACAACAAACATGGTACAGGTATACAAACATTTTTCTTTATGTTTTTTGTAAGCTATTTTCTATTTTGTTTTTTACTTTTGAAACCTTTTTTATTAAAAAAATTAAGACACAAACACACATCAGCCTAGGCTGCATAAGATCAGGATCATCAGTATCATTGTGGTCCACCTCCACATCTTGTCTCATTGTGGGAGGTCTTCAGAGGCAATAACACGCATGGAGCTGTCATCTCCTGTGATAACAGTGCCTCTGGAATCCCTCCTGAAGAACCTGCCTGAGGCTGTTTTACAGTTAACTTTATTTCTTAATAAGTAGAAGGAGTATACTCCAAAATAACAAGGGAAAGTATAGTATTGTAAATATATAAACCAGTTACAGAATCATTCACTGTCATTATCAAGTACTATGTATTGTACGTGATAGTATGTGCTAGACTTTTATTCAACCGACAGCGTAGTACTGTTTACACCAGCATCACCACAAACACATGAGCAATGCGTTGCCTATGATGTTGCAATGGCTACGACGTCACTAGGTGATAGGAATTTTTCAATTCTATTATAATCTTATGGGGCCATCATCATTAATGTGGTCCATCATTGGCTGAAATGTCCTTAAGTGTCATATGACAATACTGGGTTTGAATTTGGTCTTGGGAGTCCTTAGACTTTGAATATTGCAGGTGTCTGGCTGTCGTGGGGTTAATTCTCTTGGTTGGCCTGTTATGTCAATGGGACGGTACCATGTATATCCACAGATGAGCCGGTTGGTTTGCCCTGCCCGGTTTTGTGGTTTCAGTCTATCCGTGACCCACTCACCTACCAAAGGGAGTTATCTGTGGAGTGAATCAAGGGAAGCCTGAGCGCAGACAGGTCTCCTACTGCCAAAAACAGTGCTCTCACTTACCATACTGTAGGTGATGTAATTAGGTGATGTTTCCTGTCTACATCCTTATTTGAAATATAATTTTTGTGTATTTTTATTCCCAGGTCCATGTACTTTTATTTGCATATCATAAGTCTCCTGATAATACTATTTCTGCCAATGAAACCACAAGCTCATACGCAAAGGCGGCCTCAGACTGTGAACTCTATCAATAAGAGAAAAACAGATTGATACCTCCAAGAGAAGCGGACAAGCAGAACTGCAGAACTTTCGAAAGATGAGATGACAAGGCTCAAGGGTTCCTCCGGTGACTTAGAGGCGATGTTTACATGCATCTTTATTTTGTTCTTTTTTAAAGTGCAGGGAGTATTTTTATAAAGCCTTTTTGTACGGATAAATCGGCCATGTCCAGGTTATTGGTTTTAATATTTTATAGGACCTTTGAGTGGTGCGGCAGTGTGTGGAGAATGTGCCAGAGCTGCAGAGACAGTCCATTCTGGGATGCTGGCTTTTTGCCCTTCCAGCATGATTTCCAGCTACTGTGACCTGGATGCTGGAACCCAGGCATTGGCTCCAAAAATTAGAAGGCAAGTGCTGAGAAGACTTGACACAGGTTTCTCAAATCAGAATATACTTAGACATGGTGGTTCCCTGGGAAGCCCCAGATCCTTTGACTTGTGACGTTACTGGTTTGCAGACATAATAACTACACTCAGAGGACCATGGAGGCGGAGGGATCGAGGACTAGTGCATGGACTGAAAGTCAGACATGCCCTCAAATAGGCTGCATTTTTTTTTTCCAGGAATGTAACCTTTCCCCTTTTTCTTCTGACCTGAGCCAAGACTGAAAATCAGAAAGTTTCCTGTACGTGGAGCTGAAGAGGGGTTGCTGTTTCCCGAATGTTTTCCAGTTCACAGGCGCCGCCTGCCTGCCCGGGGATGGCCTTGAGAAGACACCCAAATGTACATGAGGCAGCAGAATGCCTTTTAGGAAATTTTTTAAAAGTAATTTAAAGTTATGTAGAAGTTTGGTAAGAAGCAGCAGTTGTTTCTCTCTTCTCCCCTCATTTCATGGAGGTGTTAATGATCATGGCTGGCTGTGATGTACGCATGGGCCAATTTTCATTTTTTCAGTTTCATGGCTGAGAAATTCAGCTTTGTTCTAGTTGAATCATCATATTGGAAAGCAGATGTTGAAATTTGTCTTTTCTATCTTTGTTATGAATGTGCTATGGCCCCTTTTGGAGACTTCTATTGGGTAATATTCCATGTGAGAGAAGGAAACATGATATTAAATGTTGTGAAAAATAATAATGATGATAATAATACAATATATGCTGCAATGGTGTACTCTCAATCAGGTTGCTTGGGAGGAGAAAATTTATTCAAATCCAATGATAAAACATTAGTTTCTTATTGAATAAACAGTTATGTTCCCATATAAAGGAAATGTTTCTGATGGGAAGAATTGCTTTTTGTCTGTGAATAGAGACTTGATGTTCAGAAGCCTCTGTGTGTGTGTGTGTGTGTGTGTGTGTGTGTGTGTGTTTTAACAAACGTGCACCAACTTAAGGTTTTACTGTATATTTCAGGCCCTTGGGTGTCTTGTGTTTTGGTATAATTTCAGATCTTTATTCCCAACTTTGCAGGTAGGATTTTACCCCCTTTCACAGATGAGGGTACTGAGAATCAGAGAGACTTTTGCCAATTGCCGTAAGATCACAGCATTAGTGGTAGAGCTGAGATTTGTGTCCCAGATGGTCCTATGAAGACCACCAGCTGTGAGTCTTTCCATAAGGTGTCCTACTGGTGCTTCTCTTAGGATAGTGAAATGTGAATGTAATGTGCCTGTCCCTCTTAAGCATGCATACAGTCCTGGTGCTGGGGGCGAGTACTAGAACCCAAACTCTAGTCCTTATTTGGGATAGTGAAAGTTAAGAAGTAGTAGATGTGAGCTAGTGCATGAGTCTCACCCTACTTTAACAAGGAAATCTTGGGGCAACCCAACTTTGCTATCTCAGGAAGAATCTTAGATAGTGGGTAGGGGAAGGGGCTGTAGGTACCTAAAATCTATCAGAGTTTGTCTCCACCAGGAATAGCTTGAGGTACAAGCTTCCTGTCTCAGGAAGAATCTTAGATAGTGGGTAGGGGAAGGGGTTGTAGGTACCTAAAATCTATCAGAGTTTGTCTCCACCAGGAATAGCTTGAGGTACAAGACCAAAAAAAATGTACATCTTATAAACTAGCAAAAATGGTAAAAATTACCATTGGTGTATAGTAATAATATGGACATGTAGAATATTCATATTACAGTGAAGTCTTTGAATTTACAATGTGATTGATGACCAGGTTTCACTGTATGTAATGTAAGTATCCTCATGTCTGAAAGAAGAACTTGGTAATGAGAGGAGGGGTGTCTGCTTCAGTGACCAGCTGCCCTGGTTTACCAAGGACTCTCTCAAGCCTTCAGTCCTGGGCAAACTGAGGCCATTGGTCCCACTAGTGACTGCCCAGAATTGATTACTCCTTATGGAATGAGGATAAGTCAAACCTCTAGGAGTTGAGCTTATGGATGCTATATGTTAGACTTGGTAGTAGGCTCTGGGACACAAACATGAGGCTTTATTCTGTATAAAAAGAACAACACATAGGAGACTGATTCGCATCCTTCTTCTTCTGAAAACCACTTACCCATAGAAAAAGATTTCAATTGAGGACCAACATTTAGACAGGAGGTTGGGACTGTTTTTATTACCTTAGATTTCCAAGTTGTCCTAAATATGAGATGCATTTAATAAATACTTATTGGATTGTGAGTTTTCAGTTGAAAATAAATACACTTCCTGGTTTTGTTTTTGAAAAAGCCAAATCTAAAATATTCTATTTTTTTTTCATACTTTGAAGGTAACTATATGGAGCAAGAATATTATTCAGATATTATTCAGTGGTTGCAAAAAGCAATAAATAATTCAGTTTGAGATTCTGACTGGCTAAGAGAGAAAAAGGCAGGAGGAGAAAACTGGAAGAAGAACAGAGGAGTTAGGTGGCCCCCAGAACTGGTGCGGTGTGTGTCCTTCCGTTACTCTGCAGGCTCCCAGGTGGTCCTTCTCAACTCCCACTGCACATTGGAACCACACAGGAAGCTTAAAGAAAGTGATTGATGCCTGGTTTCTCCAGGGACCACATGTTTTTTCTCTTCTTGTCTCTGGCATTTGGCATAGTGCCTGTCCTGTAATGAAGATTCACTAAGTGTTTGTTGAATGAATGAGGGATTGAATGGATTAGTTTAATGCATCATTGCACTTGACAGTTTTGATTGAGTCACTTTTACACTGGGAAACATCGTTTCTGCTTTTCAGAATTAGTTTCTGAAATAAAGGCTTGTGTTTTTGGGGAATTCTGAAAGCACATTATGTGATATAATCACTCAGACAGCCAGTTTACATCGTCTGAACCCCTCTGGTCCACCCATCCATTAATTAATGCATTCACGTATTTATCAAATGTGTCATGTCTGGTGTGGGCCTGGCACTCTGTGAGGCACTGCAGGGAAAAGATGCTGAAAACCGCCATTCTCTGCTCTTGGAGAGTTCACAGTATGCCCAGAAAGACATGATCCAGAGGAGTGTGCAGTAGGAGTGCCCAGGAGAATTCCAGCATTCAGAACTTATAAAGTGATCTATTGGCTGATCCTTGTTTCCTTCGAGTGATCTCATTTTACAGTGTTGAGAATTACCCAGGACAGCAGCATCACTGCTGCCTAGCCTCATGTCCAGGTGAAGTTTAAACTTGCCCTTGTCCTGAAATTGGGTATTGAGCTTGCAACATGTCAATGCCAATCAATGCAGTAGCTACCCAATGGAGCAGACTGAACTCTCATGGTTGCCCATAGGGGTAGTAGGGTGGCCAGTCCCCCTCCGGAGGGACCTTTAGTGAAGTTTGCAGGCTTAGTGAAAGACTTCATGAAGCTTCAGAGGGAAGGTATTTGCTTAGAGAAGGTGCAGCCCACGTGAGCTTTGTCTAATGCCCTAAAATTATCTGACACTACTTACTTTGTGCTAAGACAAAGAAAACTAACAGTTATTGACAGCTACTTTCACATGCATTCCTAACACAGTCTGTGAACTTGGCAGTATTCTCTTTTGCAAATGTGGAAAGCAAGTAGCAAGTAACTTGCCGACAGTCACCCAGCTAGTTAGTGGAGGAGCTGAGGTTGGAATCCTGGTTTGGCTGACTTCAGAGTCCATCTCACCGCCTGGTGCAGAGCACGTTCATTTTCAAAGAGACAGAGTTTTAAAGCTGGAAGTAACTCCAGCACTCACCTGGTCTAGTGGTTTCCTAATGCAGACCAGCGGGCCTTGTCGCTTGGGGAGCTTGCTAAACACGCAAGGAGTGGGGAGATCGATTTGCTTTTAAGTTGCTGATAGTCACCATTCCCTTTTCTCAGGGGAACGGTGTGATTGATATCAACGTGGGATAATGGTCGTGTTACCATAACCTTCTTCCCAGTGGTTAAGGGTGATTATATCCTGGTGGAATGGGGAGGTGAGAGCCTAGCTAGATTGTTTACTTCAAAAAGAAGGTATTTTGGAACATCTGTGATTGCTTTGTGTTCCTAAAAGACCTTTTAACATGGTGGTTTTAATGCATTTTGAGATATGCAAAGTTTGGCCTAGACTTTAAGTAGCTGGTATGCGTAAACTTTGGGGAAATTGGGCAGAGACTACTCAGTGGAATAAAGAGATGGCAGAAAATTGGGGCCTGAGGAGAAAGGAAATTCCCAGTGGGTGGCCTGGTCGGGGAGATCTTTAAGAATAGGAAGGTGGAGAATTCCTGGACTCTTAGGTAATGTTCTCCTCTACTAACATAGCTAGAGACACATTTCATCTTTAAAAAGAGAACAAAACCTGTTTCCAGTTTAGGCTGGCATTGGGAGGAGAGAAGAGAACAGACTAGGATATGCCTAGCAGTAACCTAAGCCTCCCTCAAGAATCAATCTCCAGAAATACAAAATACTAGCCGTGGAGTTGGGGAATGGAGCTATGTTCTCCATTATTTGAATTTCTAAATCCAAGGGCATCTTATAAATCAGTAGACCTTAGGGATATGCAGGTAACAGATGCCTTCACAGATACTTGATTACAAATAGACTCCTGGGTCCCACTCCCCAGATATTCGGATTCAGTCGGTCCGAAGCCATGCCCGGGAATCAGTATTCCTAACGAGTTTCCCACAAATTCTGATGTACAGCCGGGTTTGGGAAGTACTGGCTTCATCTTATTCTTTACATTTGAGGAAACAGGCTCAAGGTGGGTGGGTGGGTTAATGTGTTGCCCCAGGCATCAGAGATCACTTCTGTAGCAGAGATGAGGGTGGAAGCGCCTTCTCTTGACCCACTAGGGTGTACTTCCCACAAATAGACATGAGTTCTCTAAAAAACACCCAGCACAGTGGGTCTCAGAGGAGCCCTCTGTCTTTCCTGGGACATTTTCTCAGATGAGAACACCTTAGGCCTGAAAATGAGGGTCCAGGTGAGGCGGATGTGTCCTAGGGACCTGTAAGTCTGCACTCTCTGAGTGTGGGTTGGCCTCCGATCTTACGCAGCCTCACAGACAGTTTTATTGTCACTGCTGATCCAACCTGTGGAGGCAGATTGGGAACAATTTTCTAGAAAAAAGCCTTTCTGTATCCACATGGCCCTCAGGATCCAATGGCCCCTTTTGTTCTCAAACAAAGAAAATTCATACGGGATAAGCACTTTTGGCATTAAAATTTACACTGTCTAAGCAGTTGCTGGCTACAATCAATCGTCCATTCATCCTTGGCCTTCTTTCGGTCTATTGTCTGCTTGACAGGCAAAATGACCTTTCAGCATTTCCAGCTGCAGTCCCAGGTCGCAACTGTCTCTGTGTCCGCTGGCCTGGAAAAGCCACCAGATGCTGGTACACGTTTTCTGCATGGTCACTGGTAACCTCTTCCCTCCAGTCCTTCATGCTGCTGCCTGGGACACTTCCTGGTGAGCCCTTCAGGATGCCACTCTTTATCAAAACTCCTGCCGGCTCCTGCTGTCTACACCATAAAACCCATGCCCTTCCCTTCCGCCCTCACCAACCTGGGCTCCCGGCCCTCCTTTCAGGCGGGCAGCTGTTCCATGTGCAGCCAGAGTTTGTGACTCGGCGCCTTTGTACCTTTAAGTTCTGCTGCCTGAAAGAACCACATTTTTTTGAATAGGCACTTCCCAAAGCAAAAAGGGCAGAAGGCCTTTTAGACAGAGAAAATGTGCAGTACAAGATGCTATTTTTTCTGTGAAGTCCTTCTCACTTCTAGCTTCTGCTCATAGATCCCCAATAATACCTTGTGTTGTGATTAGCTTGGCGTCATTTGTCCTTCCCCAACCAGACTGCCAGGTGCCTGACAACTCATTTCTTCACACCTGGCAAGGCTCTGACTCAAAAGGGTATTGGATCAATGTTAGTTGAACAAATGAGGGAATGAATGAATTCCATTAGCCACGGCAGGATTTTCTCTGGGATAATGAAAAGGGGCCGTCTTGGACAGGTGGGTTGAGTTTGGTGTTCTGGCCCCTGCATTTACTGACCAGGACTAGAAATGGCCCTAGTAAAAATGAGCTAATCACTGTCTATTTCCTAGTCCCTTAAAATCCGGGCTTTCCCTTTACTGTGGTGCTCCATCAAGCTCTCTGGCTAGGATTCGGGTTGGGTAAGTCCAGCATGTTGGAACGAAGTTCCCAAGAGTTCTCTATTTCCTGGGAGTCCATACTGGACTTTCATCTTTTACAGCTTTTGGTAGTTAGTGGTTCCATTAGAGACTATGTAGTGTTTCATTGTCTGTATAACCAAGAATGTATTCATCTATGCTTCTCCCGATGAACTGGCTAGCCCTGCCATAACCAAGAACCACAGGCCGCATGGCTTAAACCACAGAAGCATATTGTCTCATGGTTCTGGAGGTTAGAAGTCTGAGATCAAGGTGTCAGCAAGTTTGGTTTCTTTTGAGGCCTCTCCTCTTGGCTTGTGGCTGCTGTCTCCCTACTGTGTCCTCCCATGGTCTTCCTGCTGTGTGTCTTGTCCTAATCTCCTTTTTCTTTTCTCTCTTTTTTTTTTTTTTTTTTTTTTGAGATGGAGTCTCACTGTGTCGCCCAGGCTGCAGTGAAGTGGTGCAATCTTGGCTCACTGCAACCTCTGCCTCCTGGGTTCAAGGGATTCTCCTGCCTCAGCCTTCCAGGGAGCTGTGATTACAGGCACTCGCTATCATGCCCAGCTAATTTTTGTAATTTTAGTAGAGAGAGGGTTTCGCCATGTTGGCCAGGCTGGTCTTGAACTCCTGACCTTAGGTGATCTGCCTACCTTGGCCTCACAAAGTGCTGGGATTACAGGCATGAGCCACCATGCTTGACCATCTCCTCTTCTTATAAGGTCTCCAGTCATATTGGATTAAGGCCCACCCTAATGACCTCATTTTAACTTATTTACCTTTTCAGAGACCTTGTATCCAAATCCATTCACATTCTAAAGTCTTGGGGATTAGGACCTCAACATATGAATTCAGGAAGGATGCAGTTCAACCCATACAGACCTTTAGTGGTTCTTGCTGTTTCTGTGGTAGTAAACCATGCTATGGTGAACATTCTCTTTTTTTTTTTGAGGCAGAGTCTCGCTCTGTCACCCAGGCTGGAGTGCAGTGGTGCGATCTCAGCTCACTGCAAGCTCCACCTCGCGGGTTCATGCCATTCTCCTGCCTCAGCCTCCCGAGTAGCTGGGACTACAGGCGCCTGCCACCACGCCTGGCTACATTTTTGTATTTTTTAGTAGAGACGAGGTTTCACTGTGTTAGCCAGGATGGTCTCGATCTCCTG